GGACATTGGGAACAACCGATTTACGGGAACCTTTCCCGAGTTTATTTTGCGCCAGAAGAGCCTTGTATCCCTGTACGTGGCTCTCTCTGAACACGTAACACGTCCATACGTGGCCCTTGTATTTTTGTAACACATTCACGCACAAAAACGAGTTGCGTTGCACTTAGGCATGTGCATGCAACGTGTCAACCCGACCCAACCTGACCCGACCTGACCTGACTGACCGGGTCCAATTTTTGTCAGGTCGGCTCGAGTAGGCCTAAAGATTATCCCAAACCACCCAGCCCTAGAGTCGGGTTGGTTCGGCATATACCCAGGGTCAGGTTGGGTCGACCAGCTGGAAAATCCCGACTCAAGGTTCAGATCAGGTTGGGTCACATCAGGTTGGGTCAGGTCTGGTTGGGTCAGGTCAGGTTGGGTCAGGTCAGGTTGGGTCAGGTCAGGTTGGGTCAGGCTGATCTGATCTGGTCAAGCCCTCCAAATGAGTGACTCAACCTGGCCAAAACCCCCGGTCGGGTCGACCTGTTGCTCATGCTGCACTGATGGAGCAAATGCCTCTATTTCCTTTGAGATATGACGTATTGTGCTTCCCGCCTTTTCACCCTGAAACAACTATCGGAGCAAATAATGTGGCAATTGAAATGGCCATGGCAGGAACTTGGGCAACAACAGTTTCACAGGGACTATCCCCCGCAAACTGGCCAAGCTTCTCAACGTGGGAGATATGTGAGTGGCACTGCTGCTTGCTGCTTGATACAGCACAGATTCCATCAGGTTCATCAAGGAGACTTGTTGTGATTCAACTTTGGCAACAACACAGTCACACAGGGACCATCCCCTACGAATTGGCCAAGCATGTCAACCTGGGAGATATGTGAGTGGCGCAACTGCTTGATACAGCACAGAATTTCTTTAGGCTTATCAAGGGGACTTGTGAGTCGGCTTGTGGTTATCAAGGGTTATGGGCGCACAAGCTTCTAAAACTTTCAGGGCTGTCCTTGGAAGTGCAGTAGGACTTAAAGGGATGGGATACGAACAAAAAAAGGAACAATCGCCAAGTAGGGCAAGCAATGACTCGGAATAGAGTAGAGGATTTCTTTGGCAAGTCTGCTTGAAAGACGGTGTCATGTTGTGGTTCTTGATACCATTGCCCGGTTCCAGAAATCTCAATGACAACAATTTCCATGGAACCATCCCATCCGACCTGCTTCGGCTACCCATGTTGTCCTCGCTGTAAGTAGCTCCGTTATACTTGTTTCAAAAAGATGATTTCTTCCATTTTCCACCTTGGTGTGCGTTCAATTCCTTCTCTCAATCAAACGGTGCATACAAAACCGATCTCAACTGTCCTCATGTCATATGGTACTCAGCAATTACTCTGTTTCGCTGCCGTATACTAGATTAGGAATCCACATGCATACTACTTGATTCGTGAGTGTTTCCCTTCCCTGCATCGCCCAAGTATTCAACTTTCCACCCCAAGCTTGTTGCCTGTCTCTCTGAGGCCCACGATGCATGCATGTGCTTTGGCGGTTTGCTTGAGTTTCAGACTGCTGCATTCAGCCCCTTCACTATACGCCTCCATCGCAACACAGAGAAATAGCTAACAACTTCCTCTCAGGGGAACTCCCAGGGACTCTTAGTGTCACAACTTCTCTTAGAACGCTGTAAGTAGGGCAGCGACTGGGTGGGTGCTGCCATTACTGTGTGTGCCTGGTGCCATTTTTCCCCTTAGATGCTTAGCTTTTATACCCTTGGAAGTCTCATTCGCTCCTCTTGCACCGTGCAGTAGCCTGGGCGGAAATGGCTTCACAGGCTCCTTACCTGACTTCTCACGCTGGAACGTTAGATGTGTAGAAATGTAAGTAAGCCTCCAACTCTGAGACAGTCTGTTCGTTCTTGTCCCACTCTAAACATCAGTTGCTCAATCTTGTTCCCAGCACCATGGGGTTTGTGCTATACGTTCCCGCATTGCTCGGTCTTGTTTTTCCTTCACTTGTGTTGTGGCTCAGAGATCTCAGCAGCAACAACTTCACAGGGTCGATTCCCCACTCCATCTCCACCCTCACCACCCTCGAGGGCATGTGAGGCTTCTCCTCTCTTCTTGTGCCACAACTGGGTTGTCCCCAACTCTCCTCCCTGCCCGCCTCCCCGCCTGCCTGCCTGCCTGCCTGCTATTCCCGACTCCATTTCTTCCCTCACCACCCTCGACGGCATGTCAGCCTTCTTCTCTTCTTGTGCCACAACTGGGTTGTCCCCAACTGCCTCCCTCCCTCCCTCCCTCCCTGCCTCCCTGCCTCTGCCTGCCTGCCTGCCTGCTATTCCCGACTCCATCTCCACCCTCACCACCCTCGAGGGCATGTGGGTGAGCCTTCTCCTCTTGTGCCACAACAGGGCCGTCACCAACTGCCTCTCTCCCTGCCTCACCGTCGTGTACAAAAGTCATGTTCGAGCCTTTGCAGTGACAGGCAGCCTATGCATTCAGCACTTTTCTCATGACTCAACCAATACACCCCTTACCATGTCCTGCAGTTTACTCAACAACAACCAGCTGACAGGCACCATCCCATCAGCCATATTCACCACGACGAATCTGAAATACTTGTAAGCCTCAAGGGTCGAGGGACCCCCTTACTAAGTGCCCTTAAGTGTTCCCACCTCTGCCCCATGGTGCTTTCCTGCATCAGCCCGCACTGCTCTTGCATTGCATGTGCTGCTTCTGATCGCACTGTCTCCCTGACATTGCTATTGTCATTGCCCGTCAGCTACAATGTCTCCCTCTCGTCACAATTGTACTGCCTCCCTCCCAACCGTCTCCCTGCCATTGCCATTGCCCGTCAGCTACTTTAGCCGCATGGCCGGCCCTACACTGTGTCTCCATGCCGTTGCCATTGCCATTGCTATTGTGCACCATCAGCTACATGGCCAACAACCATCTCACCGGCACTCTGCCAGCCGCCATCAGCCAACTACAGAAGCTCGAACAGATGTGAGGGTGCTATCTGCCTTGCTCCCCTACGATTCTCAAGAACTTTCGCAGCTTTGTGAGCAATGCAGGCAGCACAGCACAGGTTTACAGGAAGATGTTTATTACAAACACAAGTCCAGCAAACGTCCTCACTGTGAACATAAAGATCAGAAACTAACAAAGAAAATCGGGGCACAAAACATTGCCTGTGCCATCCCCACTCCACCCGCTGCGCTTCATTCATATAACCATTGGTGCCTTAGCTCTGCCTGCCACTGCTCTGCCTGCCAATGCTCTGCCTGCCACTGCTCTGCTCTCCCTACCCTTCGCTCTGCCTGCTCTTCATGCCTCCTGCCTCCTGCCACTGCTCTGCCCCCGCAGCTGGTTGGACAACAACAAGATTGAAGGCTCTCTGCCGACTGGCCTGTGCTCATTGCCATTGATTTTCCTGCGAGTTCTTTGCCTGCCACTGCTCTGCCTACCATTTGCTCTTCATGCCTCCTGCCTCCTGCCAATGCTCTGCCCCCGCAGCTGGTTGGACAACAACAAGATTGAAGGCTCTCTGCCAACTGGCCTGTGCTCGCTGCCCCTGCTGTGGCGCTTGTGAGTGGTCGTGGCGCTTGGCTGTGGGGCATTACTGTTTGTTTTTTTTTATTATTATTATTATTTCCCAGCTAGGATAGACAGGCTGTCGCTTATTGCAAGCAGTTTTGTATATTTGCTGAACACATAAAGCTGGAAATTATCAGCATAATATCTCTCTATGGTGTGTTGCCATTTTGTATGGGTGTATGACTCATGGTGCAGCATGTGTTGTGCTGCTGTGCTGGCAGCATGATCAGCAACAACTACCTCTATGGACCCCTGCCAGACTGCCTCTTTGACAAGTGCATCAACCAAATGTGAGCCGACCACGCGTTCTCAATCCTCACTACCATGCATGCATTAGCTCGCACCCTGACTAATGGGCATCGCAACTACCTCTACGGACCCCTGCCAGACTGCCTCTTTGACAAGTGTATCAACCAAATGTGAGCCGACCATGCATACACTATTCTCTCATGCGTAGATGCAACAGCTCGCACCCCCAACATGGGCACTGCATCGAGTGATGACATGCATCGAGTGATGAAATGCATCGAGTGATGAAATGCATCGAGTGATGAAATGCATCGAGTGATGACATGCATCGAGTGATGAAATGCATCGAGTGATGAAATGCATCGAGTGATGACATGCATCGAGTGATGACATGCATCGAGTGATGACATGCATCGAGTGATGACATGCATCGAGTGATGAAATGCATCGGGTGATGACATGCATCGAGTGATGACATGCATCGAGTGATGACATGCATCGAGTGATGAAATGCATCGAGTGATGACATGCATCGAGTGATGAAATGCATCGAGTGATGACATGCATCGAGTGATGACATGCATCGAGTGATGACATGCATCGAGTGATGACATGCATCGAGTGATGACATGCATCGAGTGATGACATGCATCGAGTGATGACATGCATCGAGTGATGAAATGCATCGAGTGATGAAATGCATCGAGTGATGAAATGCATCGAGTGATGAAATGCATCGAGTGATGACATGCATCGAGTGATGAAATGCATCGAGTGATGAAATGCATCGAGTGATGACATGCATCGAGTGATGACATGCATCGAGTGATGACATGCATCGAGTGATGACATGCATCGAGTGATGAAATGCATCGGGTGATGACATGCATCGAGTGATGACATGCATCGAGTGATGACATGCATCGAGTGATGACATGCATCGAGTGATGACATGCATCGAGTGATGAAATGCATCGGGTGATGACATGCATCGGGTGATGACATGCATCGAGTGATGACATGCATCGAGTGATGAAATGCATCGAGTGATGACATGCATCGAGTGATGAAATGCATCGAGTGATGAAATGCATCGAGTGATGACATGCATCGAGTGATGACATGCATCGAGTGATGACATGCATCGAGTGATGACATGCATCGAGTGATGAAATGCATCGGGTGATGACATGCATCGAGTGATGACATGCATCGAGTGATGACATGCATCGAGTGATGACATGCATCGAGTGATGACATGCATCGAGTGATGAAATGCATCGGGTGATGACATGCATCGGGTGATGACATGCATCGAGTGATGACATGCATCGAGTGATGAAATGCATCGAGTGATGACATGCATCGAGTGATGACATGCATGTGCTTGCTTGCTTGGTGTTGCAGACCATATGGTGGGAATCCTCGAGGTGACTTTTGAGTCGACTCAAAAGTCACTTGGTGTTGCAGACCATGTGGTGGGAATCCTCCAACCAAACACTCAACAGCATGTTCGGCTCTTTCTGTGGCCCTTGTGCTTCCCACAGTGATGTGAGCGGCAACAGCCTGTATGGTATGGGCGCATCAACCGCGACTTCAAGGGCATGTTGGCGATCAGCGGCGCACCAATCTAACCTCCATGTGCCCCCCCCCCCACTTCTTCCCACAGTGATGTGAGCGGCAACAGCCTGTATGGGCGCATCAACCGCAACTTCAAGCACATGGTGGCGAACAGCGGCGCTTCAATCTAACCTCCATGTGCCGCCCCCCCCCCTCCCCCTCTTCCGTGCCTCCCACCCATAGTGATGTGAGCGGCAACAGCCTGTATGGACGCATCAACCGCGATTTCAAGCACATGGTGGCGAACAGCGGCGCCCTCGTCAACCTGGCTCGCAACTTCTTCTTTGGGGAAGCCGTGCTCTTTGCTGCTGGCTGCAAGGTCTGCCCCACCGAGGTCAGCGAGCCCAACAGCCTCGGCCTCAAAGACACCTCCAACTGGCGAGTCTCTGACGGCAATTGCAACAATGCACTACCCTCTTACCTACTACAAGACTACGCCGTGACAGGGGCCGGGCTGAAGCTGAGGGTGAGTCTGTCGGGCAACTGCCTGACGCTCAGCCCAAGCACGGAGTGCTCGGTCAACGCCACCCAGCGCAGCACGGCAGCCTGCCAGGCGTTCTGCAGCATCACGGACAACGGCCCGTGTGACGGCCATGGGGTGTGTGTGCCGGCTGACCCCACCTCTGCAGCAGCATCACGGACAGCCTCCCCCTCCAACTTCACGTGCCTCTGCGATGCCGGCTACTCCACTCTCGACTCAGGCAACGGCTCCACATGCGCCATTGTCAACTCCACCACCACCACTGGTAACCTTTGCTTCAATCTTATGAAACTGCCTAGGCTTTCAGCACCGCCTCAGCCTGGCAGCATTGCCCATTCTTACGCGCTGCACCAATACCCATGTCAGCTGGCTTTTCTCCTACACACCTTTTCACTCCTTGCCTCACCTCGACACCTTCGTCTAACCACCGCCCCGATTCCCGTAACCTCCCATTCGTTGGCAGTGTCGTCGCTATCCACGGGTGCCATAGTGGGCATTACTCTAGGCTGCTTTGCTGGCTTCATTTTGCTGGCTTTTGTGGTCACATGGCTGCTGTGGCCCCGTGGACCAAGTGAGCTCTTCATCCCTTCTTCAGTTCCATTCATTTCCGTCTCCCCTATTGCTGTGCCTGTTTTCTGGCCTCCTTCCCTCCCCAGCTCTGCCATTATTACTGCATTTCAGCTCTGTCTCTTCGTTGCTCTCATATTCTGTCTACTCATTTACTCCCCTGGTCGTTCATCCCCCTTGTCCTCATGTGTGCGCAGAGAAGTGGGAGGGGTTGGATGTGTGTGAGCAGTTCTCGCTGCAGCAGATGCTAAAGGCCACCAACAACTGGTCGGAGGACAATGTGCTGGGCAAGGGAGGCTTCGGCATTGTCTACAAAGGCCGCTCGTCACATGGCCAGCTGTGGGCCATCAAGCGCTCCACCATCATGACCAACGACTTTGAAACGGAGGTGAGGCAAAAATTGGTACTTGTCAGAAGACATGCACTGGGGATTTTCCGATTGATCCTAAGGAACGGTTATAGACACGTTTGTCTAGAGGTTAAGGGTTCACTCACCCATTTTATGTCAGTGTTGTAGTGGCTGAAATTCTGACATGGTATCAGAGCGAAGGTCTTGGATTCGAATCGTGTGCTCACATGTTGGCTTTCATGTGTCTCTGCTGCTATACCGTGTTCTAGGGCATCCCAATGACGAAGGGGTGTCAGTAGACCTGCACTGAAAATCCCCGATTGATCCCAGGAAAGAGTTCCAGGCACGCTTGCCTAGGAAATTATGGGTGCACTCGCTACTCAACAAGCCATTTTATCCCAGTAATGTAGTGTGTGGGGTTCTAACAATACTCCATTGTTTTCAGAACGTCGACCTGCACATTCAGTGCGCGCATTCTGTTTTTCAAAATGCTGACTTGTAGCCCATACGCATCCCCCTGCATTGTGTTCCATGTCCGTGTGGCAACTGCCGACCTGCATATTCAATGCCCACCTTTCCTCGGCCATGTGCGTCTGCCTGTATTGTCTTCTCACTATAGGTGCGAACCATGGCGTCTCTCCACCACACACACCTCGTGCGCCTGCTGGGCTTCTGCCTGGACCAGAACGTGGAGACGGGCAAGCAGGAGCAGATTCTGGTGTACGAGTTTATAGGCAACCGGGACCTAGAGTGCCATATCCATGCAACCAAGCGTGAGTTGCACAGCCACAATGACGAAATGGATGCCATGCGGTTTTTTCTTTTTCTCTTTCTGTTTTGCACAAGACATGACACCATCACTAAAAAAGCCATCATTCATAACTTATTTTTCATTTTTCACTCGCTTCTTGGTGTACATATTTCATGACCTAGGTCCGCTGTCGCTGCGCCAGAGGTTGCGCCTAGCACAGGGAGCAGCAGAGGGCCTGGCGTACCTGCATGGGTTTGACACACCCATCGTTCACCGCGACATCAAGCCGGCCAACATCCTTGTGTCTGCCGACATGCAAGCCAAGGTGGCTGACTTTGGGCTGCTCAAACGCCTCACTCACGGCGATGCTGATGCCACGCGAGTGGCCGGCACTCCGGGATATGTGGATCCGGATTACAACCGCACCAACGTCATCACAGCCAAGAGTGACGTGTTCAGGTGAGCATGTGTGCTCGTTCATTTGCACAACGCCATGAACTTGTGCACCTGTGGTTATGAATCATCCAGGTTATGTTGGAAACTTGTACCCGGTACCTCTCCCCATTGTTTTCCAAGTTCATTTCACTACTTCCAATGCATGGTTGCTTGCAGCTTTGGAATCGTGCTTCTTGAGTTGCTGAGTGGAAAGCCGCCACGAGTCGACGCAAAAACGCATATAAGCAAATGGGTATGATAACAAACTGTTGAGTCTGCTAAGAAACAAGTCAATGGTTATGAGACAATGTTCATGCCCATTTACTCTCAAGTTTATGCTATGCTCGCACAGTTATCCTTAATTCCTTTTATACTGACTTTCACTCCCTTTCTTGTTGCTATGCTCCCTTCCACCACCTTTCCTGCTTACTGGGAATATACGCTCAAACCCTAAAGCGTATAGCGTATATACGCTAGCGTGTGTCCGCAAAACGCAATACGCTAGCTAATACGCTATACGCTATCGAAAAGTTTTTCGGGCTGCCCGGGGAAAAAATCGCTTGTATACGGAATGATGCAGATTTTTCTGCTGAGCATTTCGCCGAAGTCGAAATGCAATTCGACGGTCTAGGGAAGCGGGAATGTGCCTTCGGAGTTTGCAAGCAGTTCAAATTTGAACATTAGGTTAGTACTGCATTGAAACCCATCTTATCTACGAACTCCAACCTGTCAAAAACGTCCCCCACCAAACCCCACTCACGCTACTTACCAGCCAGCAAAATTCCAGTCGTCATTTCTAGCTGACATTTCCGCTTCCTAGCAGCAGAGCTCCTTCCGATTCCTACCGACTTCTTCTTCTAGTGTCTACTCCACATCCCACCCCAACCGCCGTTCAGACTTAGGGAATTGCTACGAAAGTTTTAGTGAGAGGGAACACCTTCCTATATTGAGCACGACGTTTTTTTTCACCCTGCTCGGGATAGTTTTTTACCTGCCCGAAAAGGCGTATTACCAACTCGACCCTTAAGTGTTTGCGTATATACGTTACCGTATATACGATACGCATATATACACTATACGCGTATATTCCCACTAAGCTTTCCTGCATATTTTGTTCCTTTGCACCTCTTCTCCCATTCTTATGCTTCCTTGTGTTGCACCCTTCAGGCAATGAAGAGGGTGGAGGCGTATGATCTGGAGGAGCTGAGGGACAGCAAGATGCCAGCGGTTAGTGAGGAGGCAATAGTCGACTTTGCAGATCTGGCTCTAGACTGCATCAAGTCTCCTGGCACACGGCGACCCACCATGAAGGATGTGGCATGCCGCCTCAGCGCCCTCATTGCCAAGCACTGTCCCGACAGGGAGGACGAGTGGGAGAGTGTTGCGAAGGAAGAGAGTGAAGGCAACGAGGGTATATCTTCAAGGGATGTTTCTGCTGTGTCGTTTGAGAGCAGTGGGAGGGAGGCTGAAAGGTCTCATGGCTCACATTCTAATGTGAGCTCGTTCATGCGTGTTGGCTCGATAGGTGATGGCCTATGGAGTTGGCTACAATTAAAGTCAACCAAAGGGCATTAAATATGGACATTATGGCAGTACACGTGCGTATTAAACATGAAATTCCGTAACTCTCCAAATATACCACCCTGTAGTCTTAACATTAGTGATTAATTATGGGTGTGTCTTCTCAACGTGAACAAAATTATTAAAGACCCAGGTAACGGGTTGCTTCACATGACTGTCTAGTTATATCGAATGAAGTTATGTCTGGTGTTTTTTACAAGCATGTTGAACATGCCGTCATCACCTGGTAATCTATTCATGACTTATGTGATACTGATTTGAAGAGATTGCTTTCGTTATCCTGTAATTTCTCATGTGTAATTTTGTAGTTCGAAGAGATTGATCCTTTAAGCATAATCCTTTATCTAACTGATATCTTGTATTACAAGGCTGCACTTGGAATTTCCACACTTTAAAACTATTCCATAACGAATGATGCACTTCTGCTGAACCGGAACAAGGGCGTGGAACCGGTTGCTGATTTGCGGCTTCAGCAAAATCAGGTTACGCATGAGAGGATCTGTTTTCGAAGCTTAAACTTTTTGCAATCATCGCCAACAGCCCAGTCGCACCGATTCTTTTGCGACTCATGAATTGGCGACTGGCATCCTTGTGTCCTTGCGGGGATGCGCAGGCCAGTTGGTTGGGCCTTCAGGTGGGAAGGAAGCACAGCCCAGTGGCGGTTTTGTGCTAGTGTTCCGAGACCCGGTTGCAGCATCGTGGTAATCATGGTGACCAGTGACGTGAACCTGTAAAAATGTTCACGAAATGAACGGAAACCTTACGAAGGGTACCACGCTGATTTCCACGACCAGTTCCACGCCCTAACGCTTGGCACCGCCCTTGCCGTGTGCCAGCCAAGCCAAGTGAAATCTACGATGCTGCCACTGCGACCCTCACAGTCGATCGAGGACTGCGCGTTCCAGTCTGGCTGGTGGGCACTCCCCGTTCCTTGCGCTAATTGCTGGTACAGTTTTGGCAGAGGGGTGATGGGCCGGAGGAAAGGGAGGGAGGGACTGCCTGTCAATCCAACGCTGACGTGCGATGGTCTTGTGTCCACCACGAGAAATTTGTGGGGGCACCAGGCCCCCCACCCACCCCATGCACAAGGTGGAAATATTTCAGCTGGAAAATCTACGTACAGTTCACACGCCTTCCGAGGATCCGATGCGGGGCGGTTTGAATTTTTTCAAACAACTCAGGCCAGGAAAACCTTGCCGTTGAGGGAGGGGGAACATTCACCGAGTTGATGAAAAAGGCGCCTGTAACTTGGAAACAGCTGCACCCATGCACCCCCTGAAAATTGCCCCAGAAGTTCAATTGAGCTCTCTTGCATCAGCACCAGGCCTCAGGATTTCAGGACATTTTACCCTGATTAGCCTGTTTTTTAGGGTAGTGTTTAAAAACCACCCTGTAAATACAGGTTTCAATGGTTTTACCACCCTGTCACGATCAGGCCTCGTAAATTTTGAGCGTTGTTTTGCAGTTGTTCGTTCTTGTAGCACACTGCCTTGGCCGAGTTCGGTAGTGGCAGCACTCTTGTCCCTCAGTCATTTAACTGGCTAAGTCCTTGCCGGGAGACACTCACACATACACCAAAACAAGCGTCGGATGTGCTCGAAAACTGGCTTAGTCCTTTTCACAGAGACACTCACACCGCACCAAAACAAGCGTCGGATGTGCTCGAAAGCTGGCTCAGTCCTTTCCACGGAGACACTCACTCAGATTGGACCGCTGCAGCCTAGTTCAAATTTTCACCCTGCCATACCGGACCAGAAATATTTCAACACCCTGCCATTTCTAGGGTACGACGCGGCAGCAACACTGCAGTGGCAGTGTGACTTCGACCTGGAACTTTGATTTGACAGGGTGGCACAAAACGAATCAAGACCCCTGATCAGCACCTCTCCCTGCTGGTCCCGCTCTCCCCCCACAGCCAACCGCAAACAGAATTTTGCCACTGCACCGAAACCTGCCGCTGTATATAGTGTCAAACCGTGCGCAACTCCCAACCACCCAAAACCCTTTCTTCCCTTTGCCATAAGCGTCAGATATGGAATCAATCCGCGTCCATTCCACAATGATTTGTCTGACGCTCCTCACTCGTCCCAGCGAGACAGACAACTCGAACATCAACTCTAGAAGGCTGAAGCCCTGATCCGCGTCGCGTGGTCCTTAATCCCATTGGCTCATCCCAACAATATTTTTCTCATTGCCGTGTCCTTTTTTTTGGAACTATCTGCACGGGCCGCGAGTGCCACCCGGCTGACGACTGTTGTGGGAAACATACGGAGTTCGCAACTCTACCCGTCAATACGACTCGCGAACGTACGCGATGAGCGGTCACGACTCACGGCGAGTTAGGACGAGCAATCATAGAGACCCCACAAGGGGTACTTATCGTTGTCACGACGAGGCCAAGGTGGAACCAAGGCGGAAGCGGAGGCGGGGCCGATACGCAGACAAGGACACCCACCCACCACTATCACCGCAAGTCACTGCGGCGGCCCGTCCACTCTTAGCTGTCGTTTCATTCGGTGCTTACACTTGGGACCATCGTCCGCTGGCGAGTGAGATAAGGCTGTTAGTGGAAGCGTCATCTCTGAAGTGTACCCTCAGTGTGCTTCGACGCCTGCTGCGCTAGTGTGACACTCGCGTCCCTGACGGACAGACTCCTCGTTTCGCTTCTAAACGTCAAATCAGCACGGCCAATCGCGAAGTTTGCGCGAAACCGGCGCCACCATGTTTTCGCCGCTGGCCTGCTTCTCTCCGCACAACTTCGCCGGCGATTTTAGTGATTTCGGCGACGATGTAACTTTCGACGAAAGATTTTCGCCAGCAACACCAACTACGCGGACCGTTCCGAAAATCCCCTCCCTCTCGTCCCTGCCGGTCTTCACGCGGCCGCCCACGAGCCCCGCAGCCGCGTGCGTCGCACCCTTCCCCGTCTGCTGCTCGCCCAGCAGCGACTGCGGTTCCCGTAACGACTCCCTGCGACGCCACGTGCGACACATCGAGCGACGAGCCAATGACGCCTCGTGCGACGGTCGGAGTGAAAACGCGTCGCACGAATTGTCGTTCTGGGCATCGGAATGTGCTCAGGCGCCGGGGCGGAACGACGTACGCCCACATCGCGAACTCCCCCCGGCCTCCGTCTTCGTTCCCCCCGTTATAGTGCCATCGCTTACTAGCAACGACGTCGCTCGGCGGTACTTCTCCAACGGTACGGAGTGCCGCCCTGCTCCCTCGGGAAACGTAACCCGCAACAACTCGAAGCGCAAATGTGATGGCGCCGGCGGCGGTGGCGGCGACAGCGCGAACGCGGCGTCAGCGCGACCAGCGGCGGCGCGGGCAAATATGAAAGGCGCGAAGAAGACCGAGGTAGCTGTTGAAACAGTCGGCGCCTCCGCCAAGAGTCACCTGCTCGCACGACCATCGCTGGTCATCCCATTCCCCGCTGGGGAGCCGTTACATTGTAACGGAGCTTTCGACTCAAACAACAACGCGTTAGCGAATTCCGAATTACATGGTCACCACGTGTCGCCGCCACACCGCAACCTCGCGGATAAGCCGCTCCCGTCGCGCAGCCGTGGGAAATCGAGGCCGCGCACAGCGCCGATGGGGATTGCGTGTTGGTTGTGGGACACCGCGACGGGAGTGGCAGGAACGGGCGGAGCGGGAGAAGCGGAAGGAGCGGGAGGCGCGGCAGCCGAAAGCCGGACCGGCAAGCCGTCTGAGGATGCGAAATTGGCGGTGACAGCAACCGGACGCCACGCAGCGCCGGCGTTGGCGATTGACATCCGCGGCGGCGGCAGCAGCAGCGGCGCGTTGGGCGGCGACGGGGATAAAGCAGCGTCGGTACGGACGGCGCTGTACCCATCGGCGCGCAGTGAAGGCGGTGGCGGCGAGCGGAGCGTGCGCGACGTGCTAATCGTGGAAGGGGGAAGGCCGCCCGCGGATGCGGGGCGTGCCCGAGGCGGTGTGTTCCGCAAGAAGCAGCGGCGGGGGAAGGGCAAGCGGAGCGTGTTCGTGTACGAGCTGGTGCGCGCGCCCGCGGGGGGAGGCGGCGGGGATTATGGGGACCGCGGATTGCCGCGCGCGAGAACAGCAGGCGCCGCGGAGAGTGGCAGTGCTGGGTTGTGGGGGACGGACGGCGCGGAAGGAGTGGCGGAGGGAGCAATGGGAAAGGCGCAGGGTTGGCAGCAGCGGTCGCTGGATCGAAGTGACACGCAGAGCGACATTGCTGACGTGGACGAATGGCGATGGGAGATGGAGAAATATCTGACGGAGAAATTAAGGCGAGAATCGGGTCCGAAGGAAATGGGGCGAAAGGAGAAAGAGGTTACGAGAGAGGAAAGGGAAAGTGGCGGCTCGGAAGGGGAGCAGCACGAACGGGAGAACGGTAGCGGCGGCGGCGGAAGTTGGGGGTTGCGAGTCGCTGATGATGACGACTCGTTAGGAGCAAGCGGGCGCGCTTGTAATACGTACGGGGGCTGTGACGAAGGAAACAACAGCTGGCGCGATACAAGCAGCGAAGGGGAGGCAGCGGGGATTGACCAGTGGGACCTGGACGCGGATATCGAGGAGCACCATAGCGAGGATGAAAGCAGCGCTGTGCTGTCCGCCGCCACGAGCGGCGACGGGGGCGATCCGTGGGGCGTTGGGGGCAGCAGTGGCAGCGAGGAGCAGCGAGCGCTGCAGCGGCAGGGGCGAGACAAAGGACTAGTGATAGACTTGGGAGTGGATGGGGAGGAGTTGGGAGTGGTGAGGAGGGACGAGGATTGGTTTGAAGAGGCGGAGGGCGTGTTGCTGGTGGACGAAGGGCGTGTCGTGCCTCGGGAGTCAGACGGTGGCGAGCGCGGCAGAAACGGAGAATGGGGAAGGTCGCGAAGCTGTGTGGAAGCGTCTGTCCGCCAAGCCAGCAGGGCGGCCGTTGCCCGCGCTGCAGCGGACGCGCAGGCAGGCAGGAGAGGCGACGGCAGCGATGGCAGTGGGAGTGACGGCAGCACCGGCCGTGGCAGCGACAGCAGCAGCAGGCACAGGGAAGGTGGGCGGCCCGTGCTGCTGCGGTGCGAGGGCGTGCGGGGGAGCAACCGCGTCCGCGCGTTTGATCCCAGCGAGTACCTGCCTGCGCCCACAGCACCCGCAGCACCTGCAGCACCCGCAGCAGCACCCACAGCACCCACAGCTGCAGGTGGCGTGCCTGCGAGCGAGCACCACTGCGTGAGTGCAGGTGCAGGTGCGAGTTGGAACACACCCACGGCAGCCGGTGCAGCCGCTGTGCCAGAGGGCCGTGAGACTGCAGCGCAGGGAGGTGCGAGGGCGAGGGCACGCCAGGGAGATGACGCGGCGGCGACGTCAGCAGCGGCGGGAAAGAGCCAACACGTGTCGGCATGGTGGCAATTCGGTGGGGCTGATAAGAGCGCTGATAAGAGCGACAGCAGCGGGCAGGCCGGCAGACGGAAGAGCACAGGTGGTGGAGTGAGCAGCGGAGTGCATGGGGGTCGGTCCCGGCCGTTGGGACCCCCACCCACGCCCCAGAGCCCTGACCACGAAGCATGCATGGAAAGCCGCACCTCGCACTTGATATCACCACCGGCTCTCCCCTCGCACGCATCAGCAGCGTCATCGTCCCGCCTACTGCCCTCCCCACGCCTCCCGCCCTCCCGGCGCCTCCCGCCGTCCCCCGGCCTGAGGAGGCAGCAATCCGCTGCGGCTTCGCTTGCTGCGGTGGAGGCGAGTCAACGGCAGCGTGAGAGGCAGGCTGATTTGACTGCACGAGCAGGCAAGCAGAGCAGGGGAGCGCGGGAGGAGTGCGGGCGAGCGGCGGTGGTTTTCCACAAGAGCAGCAGCACTGGCAGCAGTGGGGGGGGAGGAGGTGTCAGTGGCACCGGCAGTGGCACCAGCACTGGCAGCAGCCAGGACACATCGAGCAGTAACTACAGCAAGAACAGCACCCAA